CCCCCCCCTCCCCGCCCGTCCCACCGAGGGGAGCTCCAACTTTGGAAGAAAGAGACGCGCCAGACCCAGGGGAGCGCGCGGCGCGCAGGGCTGGGTGCGCGCGGCCTCCGGGGCGCGGCTTCGGGTTACGGCTCCCGTCCCTCTGAAGTCGCACCTGTCCTCCTGTTTATTTTCTCCTCGTCATTCGCAGCTGAAAGCGGCTAAACCATAGCCTCTGCTTTCAACCAAAGCAGGACGCAGCATCGTCGATACGAGGAGTTCCTTAGCAGTTTTGAGTGCGATAATATTTACCTCCTAGCTGCGTGACCTTGGCTAGGTTCCCCAACGCCTTAAGCCCTTAAGGAGCAGTTTTCTCAACTGTAAAACAGGGGTTGTCAGTGTACTTACATCGTAGGGCTGCTGTGAAAATGATTCCCCCGCACGGTGAACTTCTGCACCAGCGAGCCAGCGACCTCTGCGCAGCGCCTGGCACAGCATAAGGGCTCAGTTAAATACTCAGAAACCTAAGCATGTACGTTCTTTTTCACAGGCAAAAGGAAAGAAACCATGATTTGTACAGTTGATCCTGGAAAATATATGGAGTTTGTATGATGCTGACTTTTAAATGCCGCCTTTTCAAGGTTAAATACAGGCCGTCATTTATATTGATGGGTGTACATATGTATACCGATATAGTCAACGTTTATTTTTTAACGTGAAGAAGTCTAAAAGTGACAGTGTCATGCACACGTACCCAATCCAACGAATCTTCTAAAAGTACACATGAGTGGGCGTTCAATCAATAGCCTGAAAATATATTTTCATTTTGATTGGAGCAACTGTCACCCCCTTCAAATGCAGTCCCTAAGCTTATGTTTTTGACACATGGGAAGTGAGCATAACAGAAACCTAGGAGTTGAGACTGTCCTGTGTGGACCCTGCAGCTGGGATGAGGGTGATGCTTTTGGTTTGGGTATTGTCCTAAGAAGTTCTTTTTGGATGAGTCTTCCATTTCTTTTATATTTCCCTTTTTAAAGGCTTGTGGTAAACTCTTTGTGATTCTATTAAGTATTACTTTTGTAATTATGATTTTAAACCATGTTTAGAAAGTTCTTTAATTTGTTCCTTTTAATTTTATTATTATTATTTTATTTTTAATTAAAAAAAAATATGTCTTTATTGATTTCAGAGAGAGGAAGGGAGAGGGAGAGATAGAAAGAAACATCAATGATGAGAGAATCATTGATCTGCTGCCTCCTGCACAATCCCTGCTGGGGATCGAGCCCACGACCCGGGCCTGTGCCCTGACCGGGAACCGAACCACAATCTCCTGGATTCTAGGTCAATGCTCAACCCCTGAGCCACACCGGCCGGGCTAACTTGTTCCTTTTAGAAGAGGGTCAACTGTTTATTCTACGCTGATATAACTGGAAAATCTTTCTGTTGGTTAAAGCAATCATCTCTCCAACTTTAATTCTCAAATCTATAATTTTAACCTTGAATTCTCATCTATTTTCTGATCCTGTTTTTCTACTTGCCTACTGGTGCAAATACAATTCAGCCTGAGCAAAACCAAACCCATCATTGTTGTTACTCACACCAAACCGATTTCCTGGCCCCTGTGCCTTTCCGTTTCCTCATATCTGCCCTTCCCTTCCCTTCCCTTCCCTTCCCTTCCTTTCCTTTCCTTTCCTTTTTAAATATATCTTTATTGACTTCAGAGAG